CTTTGGCGACTTTTCTTGTTATATATATACATATAATATATATATATATACATATAATATATATACATATAATATATATATACATATAATATATAACATATAATTGTAAAAAACTTATCTATCCTAGGTTGGGATTTGTTGCACAAATGTTTTGTTTTAAAATAATCAAATAAAGAATTAACTTTGTTTAAGGAATTTATTAAAAATATTTATTTATATCTTACAAAACTTTTTAGTTCATTGCAAAATCTCATAGGAAAAACTATTGGGATGAAATTTGTAAAATTTCTTTATAAATTTCATCAGATTTAAATTTTCAATTAAAATAATATTTCTAACATTATTAAATTAAATTGGTTTAATTTCCAACAAGACATATCTTTACAATGGATAATGACTATATGCAGTACAGCAATACCTCTCTATACTTCAGTCCAGCGTTCCTCAATCTATGGGTTACTTAAAATATTTAATAGGTTGCGAAATGACAGTTGACGCAAAGTGATAGCTATCATTTTAAAAATTGCGTATGTTATAAACAATTCAATTACAAACAAATATGTCAGATCACGTAGCAGAAAGTTTGAGAAACGCTGCTTTTGACGTTTAAATGTATGTAAATAATTAGTTAGATTCATAAATCATCTTCGAAAATTTAATTTTAAAAAAATATCTGGGATTTGTTGCAAAATGTTTTGTTTTCAAATAATCAAATAAAAAAAAACATATTTACAAATTTGTAAAAGTCCTTTATCAAGTTACTATTTATCAATTCCATCAGATTTAAGGACATTACAAAGTTTTCAATTAAAGTAATATTTCCAACATACAACATTGTTCAATTTTTGTAAGATTATTAATAAAAATAGGATTAACTACAGTGAATGCGTCAATGTCTCACTATTCGAGATATTGCTATACTTTACTCCAGCGTTCCTCAATCCATGGGTAACTTAAAATATTTAATAGGTTGCAAAGAGACAGCGGTCATTTCAAAATTGTTTATGTTATAAACATTTCAACAAATATGTCGGGTCATGCGACAAAAAGATTGAGAAACGCTGCATTAGACGTATAAACCTTTAAATTGTTTATTCAAAACTTTAGTTGTAAACAATATATTGGGTCATAAATTATCTTAGAAAAAACGTTAGCCATATCTGTCAAGAGTAATTTATTGAGTTATCAGTATCTTTTCTTTAGATTGTATTGTTTGTTTTTAATTATTATTTTATTGAAACGAACATGAACAAAATTTTACTTTTATTAGGGTCAATTAAATACTGAAAGCAATTATTTTGTAATTTTTATTGGTACCAATTTAACTAAATCTTTTTAGATTGTTTTGTTAATAATTACATTTTTAAGTGAATTTTGACTATTTATGACCACTTTTCTACAGTGATTAATTTTATTGCTTTAGATTATTTATTTAAACAAAAGAAACGGATTTTGGGTAAAAGTTGATTTTTTCTTAAAGTTGAAATATAAATCTGCAATCTATCTTATGTTTTGATATAATTGCAATTATGAATACGTATTTATTTTTGTTATGGAAATTACTTTTTTTTATGAAAAATTAATGTTGTTTTAGAAATTTGTAATATTTTACTTAAAATATAATTAACTGTATTTACTTAATAAAATATATTTTGATTAAAAAAATAACTTTAATAGTTAATTATTGAAATAGCCCTGATTAATTTTCTTACAGTAAATCAATAAATTGCATTACCAAAGATATAGATTTGATCTAGATCTAGATTATTTTCTAATTCAAATTGTTTAAAAATACATATTCATTTAACAAAAACTTTATTTTCAATATTATTTGTTAAAAAATCTCTTTCAATGATATTTTTTTATAAAAAATGAAATACAGTGGAACGAGCACCTCGCATAACGAGCAAAATGAGTTGTAAGAAATTGACTCGCTTAACGAACCAAGTTTCGTATAACGAGTGACGATGAGAAGAGAAGTCACGGATTGCGCGCCTGATACATCATTTTTAAAACTTATGTACACATATTATGTCTATTTTTTAATATGTTTCACTATACGTGTAAAAATCCGCAAATTTTGGAACGGATTAAACTCGTTAAGCGAGGTTCCACTATACTTATAATATATTTTTTGTAGCAAGTTTTTTTTTTAATTTAATAGACAATTAATAAACTGAAATTCATGATTTCATTCACAACAAATTGAATTATTTTTTGCTTATAAATATTTCAGTTTATTTTATTACAAATTGTTTACGAATACAAAAATTGATAACAAAAGTCTGTTTGGAGCGCAAATTTAACTATAAGTTCAAGTGTGTTGTAAAATTACAAAAGGTTGAAAGACTAGACGCTAAGGTGCAATAAAACACTAATGGTTATACAAATTTTTAGCTGCTTACTATATTTGCGTATACCCCCCACCAACGGAAAATCTGCATGCTATATATATAAGAGCAAAAAACATTGACATTACGATTATTCTTAAAAAAACTTCAACATGTTCAGGTTCATTGAAGAAGCTCACAAGTACAAAGACAACAAGGTATGTCCTTGTATGACTGTCCGGGAGTTAAGGCAGTTTACCAGGAGGATGGTTAAAGCAAAGATGATTGGATTGAAGGGAGTTGACTTAACTAGATATGTGAATAAGCTTATGGAGAAGTCGGCGAAGCAGTATGGATATCCGGAATGGAACGCTCCACTGAAAAATAGTATAAAGGAGATTAAGAAAGTTATCAAGGCGAATTTTGAAAAGGATTATTCTGATAACATAAGGGATCTCACTTTTCAATCTATGCACCAACACAATATGGCTAAAAATG